ATGTCAAAACAACGGGACCTGCGTCAGTGGTACGCAAAGCCCCCACTCACAGTGGCCTGCCGAATTCGCTGCGGTGATTTTTTTATTTTTCCACGGGTAAGTCACAGCAGAATTGGGGAATCACAATCTGGTTGGTGGTGTAATGATGTTTAATGATGGTTATCACGAAAGCTAGCGTCAGCTAGCTGGAGTCTTCTTGCTTTAGCAAGTATTGGGGGGGCTGCTCAAGGACATCACGTGATTTTTCACGCGAAAGGGGGGGACCCCCTGTTTTTGTTTCGACCTAATACCTACATAGGTACATGCATGAGTATTGAGCACATTTATATGCGCCCTTCAAGGCTCAAGAGGTATATAGAGTAACCCTGTAGACAAGCACAGACCGGCAACAGGCTGAGTAAAACAAGTGCTGTCATTGGGGAAGACGCCTTAGCTGATCTTGAAGTAGACGCTAGGGCCCCTCTTCAAGTGGTAGCGGAGCAGTGATCCCTCATTGAGGGTGAGCTCCAGGAAGAGCCCAAGCAATGGCAAGCCATGGCTATGATGATGATGACTTCGACATTGTCGATGCAAATGAATGGAACCAATATGACTCTTATGCAATGAGAAGAGCACCCCAGCATACACAGATTCATATGACGCAACAGATGACCACAAAGGTTGCTCCAGCCTATGATGGGCGAACCAGCTTCTTTGCTTTTGAGGATGCAATTGATGACTGGTGTGACATTACGGAGTTAGAACCAGAGAAACGTGGTCCAGCATTGCGCAACAGACTGGAAGGAGATGCTCAACAATACAAGAGGCTATTGGATAGAGAATTACTCAGGGATCCCTATGAAGGAGTGGCTTATTTCAAAAGATTTCTACGACCTCATTTCATCAAAGGTGCCCAAAACGTGTTCTTATACCGTTTCATGCAGTTCATGAAGTTCAACAGAGGAACCATGGATCTTCAGAAGTGGATGACTAGATTTCAACTCACTGGCAATAGACTTATTGAGTCTTGGATGGATTTACTTCCAGAAGTAACAGTGACTAGTCCTGAAGCAATCCTGTTTGTTCAGCAACGACGTCAAGAACATGATCGAGATCAACAAGAACGAGCTGAAGTAGCAGCAGCCTCAGGAGCAGCTCCTCATGTAGTTGTTCCTTGGTCAGATGAACTGGCACTAGCGGCATTCAGACAATTTCAGGAAGATCGTAGACAAGTACAGCGACAAGCATTCCCACTGGGTGAAAATTTGCTAGCATTGATTTTTGTAAGTCTAGCTGACCTGAGTCAAGATCAGAGAAACACACTCACAAGTATCATGACACATCGTGGACGAACCCTCGATCGATACAGCATTCAAGAACTACGTGACCTGTTCTTGGAAATGTTTTGCACTACCAAAACAGCAGTTGACAATCCATTGATGCAACCCTCTGGCATGGCACAGAGAAGATCTTTCCTCGTACTGGATGAAGGTGAATTAGAAGGAACCGACGGCTATTGGGCCGAAGATGAAGAAGACGGCGCAGAAGGATTCCTGGATGCTTTAGAAGATGTTTTCTGGGTTTATGATGACGCCAACTTCACATGGTATCAGAGAAGGTTCCAAGGCAAATACATCAGACGAGGCAAAGGTAAAGGAAAGAGAAAAGGAAAAGGAAAAGGCAGAGGAGGACGAAGATTCTTCAGATCAAGAAAAGGAAAAGGCCGAGGAAAAGGAAGAAGGAAAGGCCGCTCTCACATGGTGAGTGAAGAAGGTTATGAAGATGAATGGCAAGATGATGAATGGAATGAAAACTATGACGGCTATTGGGCCGATGATCAAACCTGGAATGAAGGCTATTGGGCCTATGATGATTCATACTACATGGATGAGTATGGATATTTCCAGAGGAAAGGAAAAGGAAAAGGAAAAGGAAGGAAAGGCAAGAAAGGCAAGGATGATGATGGAAAAGGAGGAAAGCCAGGAGATGGAAAAGGCAAGTCGAACTATGTTCAACCTCAGACCACATCAGCTCCTGCCATACAGAATCAACAAACTCAACAAGCTCATTATTCTTCTGCAGCTTCAAGTTCTGGTCATGGTTTCTTTTCATTTGGAACAACTGAACCAGCACGTGTTGATGTTGCAGAGACAGAGCCAGCTCGTGTTGATGTTTTGACATCCACGTATGCAGCACAAGATGAACAACGACGCACTCGTCGTGGAGGACAGAACCAACGTGATGCAAGAGCACATCAAAACAGGAGAGAAATGAAGAGATTCCCTGTTCTGGTTGGAGAAGTTGGTGCACTACGACAAGGTGTACAACAACGTCCAGCTGTAGTGCCCAGGCAAGTTGGTCTTCAAGAAGGTGAGGCTTCATGGAAGCCATTGGCAGAAGGCACATCATTGTTTTCACATGGATGCTCTACAGAGATAGAGGAACCATCACAGCAGAGTGCTTTTTCATTTCATACTGTACAAACTGATCTGGCATGTGAGAATGGACTAGCTTTTCACACAGAGAATTCTGCACCACCAACTGTGTGTATTCTGGATCTTGGATGCACAAGAGCTATGGGCTCTCGACGAGCAGTTGAAGCATTTTGCAGATATGTTGACTCACATCCCAACAGTGGACTCTGGTATGAAATTCAGCCAACAAGTTCAAGATTCTTCTTTGCAAACTCACAACAATCAAAATGTACTGAGAAGCTCGTGATATTCATGTATGATCATGGATGGAACACTCAGTTTACAGAATTCGACATTGTCGAAGAAGGTGATGTCCCATTGTTGATGTCACTTCCACAGATGAGAAACCTTGGATTTCAATTTGAACTTACTCCAGAGAAGGCTTATTTGTCCTGTGCACGTATTGGCATGAGAAAAATGGTTTTGAGGACAGCCATCAGTACTCATCTCATTCTCGACCTACAAGATGTAGCATGGTACATGAGCCAAGTTCATTTCAAGACTCCACAAGTCAAAAGTTTCTATTCACAACACGATCACTTTGAGTACAGTCAGATTGCTGTCAAACAAGATGATCATGAAGGAGAAGCTTTGGTGACTGGTGACTACTGGCAGGTTGATCCACTACGTCGTGAACTCATCAGGCACCACAAGGACAAGAGAATGAACTTACATGAGATGACTCGATCAGAGAAAACTCCAATTCCAAAAGATCAACTTCTTGATGAGAGAGAAACCCACATTGAATTCCAGAAGAGCAAGAAGAAGGTTCTTCACAAGGACAACTGGCGCACTGAGAAGAAGAGGTTTTCTGAACAGAGTGAAGAGTTCTGGAAGGGCAAGACCATCTACAAGATCAAGGAGGACTACGTGATCCCAGATGACATTGTCAGAAGTGACATTGATCGTGCAAAGCCCTTTCGTGGAAACATTGATGATCTTTTTCACCCTGAGTCAGCCTCTTCAGTGCCATCAGGTGTACAGAAGAAGAAGCCAAGCTCCTTAAAGAAGGAGGAAGGCAAACCGATTTCAAATGGACCAGGCTCGAAAAAGATTGAGGTAGGTCCACCTGCAGCCAAAAGACACGTAGGTAAGCAGAAACCTCAGGTTGTCGATGACTCTCAATCAGGTTCATCAAGAAAGAAGGTTGTTGTCTCCTATCCCAAGCTTGATGAAGAAGATGAGCTTGACAAGGTAGCTAGGGAATTAGGTTTGGACAAGATTGATTCAGATGAACCTCAAGTCATTGAACCAAAACATTCTGCACCTGCGCGCAACCGTGGTAAGCAAGATTCAGAAAGTCAAGTTGAGAAACTAGGTAGTGATGCTCTTGAGCCTAGGCGAGTTTCGATTCCACTGCCTGGTAGTGAAGTGCAAGCCATGACACCAGCATACAGAAAGATGCTCAGGAAACTGGAGGATAGTGTGGAACTTTACAAGCTTCATATCAAACACTATCACATGTCTCCTACTCAATTCAGACGAAGGACTTCCATGTTAGGACTTCCTGACTCTGTTTATCAGAAGTATGAGGAGATGTACAACAAGTGTCGTGTGTGTAGTACTTCAATTGCACCACCGCCGCGAGCCAGAATTTCAGGCATACGATCCACCAACTTTGGAGATGTTATCTTTGTTGATCATGCTGAAATTCAGTTGAGAAAGAACAAGTACATGGTGTTGCTTGTTCTTGATGGTGCAACCAACTTACTTTGGGCTACGGCACAAAACTCACTGAACAACAAGGAGACCATTCAGGCTCTAAGGTTGTGGAGTGATGAACACAATTGTATGCCTAAAGCCATTGTAGGTGATGAAGCTTTCTTTCAAGAAGACTTTCTGACTTATTACCGAACTCATGGTATCAAGGAATGTCCCTGTGGTTCAAGAACCCCATGGCCTAACAGAGCTGAATCAGCTGTCAGACTTTTCAAACGACAATGGCAAATCATGTCCAAGAACCTTGAAGATGATAGGTTCAAAGGAATCACCATCAGAGAAGCTGTGAAGCGTACTGTTTGGGCCAGAAACACTCAACTCACTGTTAGTGGTTATTCTCCTTTGGAAATTGCCACTGGTAGAAGACCACCAGATCTTCTGGATATTGAGACTTCTGATCCTGCTCAACTTAGTGTTGATCCTTTACCTGAAGACAAAACACAACTCGAGTTGCAAAGGTTAGCACTGAGGGCACATCAGGAAGCCAGACAAGCTGCTGACCTCAGACATGACATGGCCAAACGAACAATGCCATCAGATGGACCTTACAAACCAGGTGACAAGGTTTTCGTTTGGAGTTCCCCTGTCAATGCTAATGCTATTGCTTCAAAGGCATGGAAGAAGGAAAGATGGATCAGAGGTACTGTTATCTCTCAAGAAGGTGCTATGGTCAATGTTCATGTTGACAACGCAGTCATGCGTGTTAATCAATCGAAGGTGAGACGTGACCATGATGAATGGCATGATGTTGCTGTTCCTGGACTTGACACATCAGAACCTGTTCCACTTGCAGTTGAAGATGAAGATGACTATGAACCAGATATCGCTGAATATGCTGAAGCATACTTAGGTGAACAAGCTCACTGGTTTTGTCAAACT